TTTACGTGGGCGCATCCTCAATACATTACATTCTTCTCACCTCGGCTTTCAAAGGATAAAGTATAAAGCTGGAAAATATTGCTTTTGGCCCAAACTAGATAACGATATAGCGCACTGCGTGCGAAATTGCTCTTCATGCACTGATACTGCTAGAATGCTGGCCAAAACATTGTTGCAATCATAGCCTAATACCAGCCAACCGTGGGTTCGACTGCATGCTGATTTTGCTGGCTCTATGAAAGGTAAGCACCACTTAATTCTCGTTGACTCGTACTCTAAGTGGCCGGAAGTATCTCGGATAAACTTTATAAATGCGCCAGCAACCATCAGCGTTCTTAGCGACACATTTTCGCATTTTGGTTTTCCTGAGTCCCTTGTCACCGATAATGGTCCTTCACTTTAACCACGTGACTTTCAGCGGTTTTGCATGCAACATCGTATTTTACACATTTTTGCTCTGTCATATTATCCGCAGAGTAATGGATTGGCTGAACGATTTGTCGATACTTTTAAACAAACACTTTCCAAAATTAATAAGGGCTTAGAAGATAAAAACATTTATAACTTTATTACTCACTACCGCAACATCGTCCACCCATCTATCGATAATTCTCCAACTATGTTATTACAAGGACGGAAGCTTCGTTCTTCATTAAATTTACCGTTTTCTCTGGCGCCATCTTCAGAAAGAACAGCGGACTTGTTTTTCATTTCAATTGCTCTCATGGAGCCAGACCCCGAGCTTTCCAACTTTAAGAAGCTGCATATGCTTGTATGCATAATACGTCTCAGAAATGGACGCCCGCCGCCATCACTCGTAGGAGAGGAAAAATTTTGCATGAGTTAGTTTTTAATTCTGGAGAACAAGTCGAAAGCCACGCTAATCGAATCAAAGCTCAAGACGAAGTAAGCAAAACGCTTCAAGGAAGTCAAATCAGGAATAGGGAGGCGAGTGAACACAAGGAACGGTTATTGAAATTCAATAGAAGTGGCTGATCAAGAGCGCGAGCATACTGCTTTACTTCACTAACTCCAGCAGCTAAGTATCTCTTGATCTATATCTGTTAGAGAGCTCTCCTATTGCTTGAAATGCTGAATTCTGATTAGTTCTTGTTCTACGCTATTCGTCTGTCGTTTCTTTCGAATAAACCCCTTGACTACCACTCCCACATGATACATAACAATGGCCTTACCGTATT